CCCCCCAAATCCCACCAGCCCCCCCCCTACCTTATAAAAAATGAACGGTCCCTAAGCTCTTTTAAAAGTCCTTACAGGATTAATATAAACAATTCCATGCTCTATTAAGGAAAAACCACAATTGCAACCTGAATTGTTTGGGAAATAGGAAAAAAACTCTTTTGGGAGACAAAGTAGTTTGTATGCATTCAACACCTCTCCCAGCCCTCCTTTTCCCCACTTAAGCCAAAAACAAAAACAAGTGGGAAGTGAGGGGAGGAGCTAAAGGTCAGAAGCTTAACAACCACAAGCTGATGAATAAAAGGAAAAGACAGGATTTGATTCAATGGAAATGAAAATAGTCAGCCTGCTTCCGTGCATACAGGTAGTTTAACTTCTGCGTCGCATAAAAAAAAAAAAAAAACTACTCACGTGGCGTGCAAGCTACAGGTAAATTTGAGAAACAAAAAAGCGCGAAATAAGAGACCTAACGATACGAAAATTTCAATCACTCCTTTATTTATGTTTCCTTTCCTTAATTACCAATACTTTAGCTCCATGTCCCAACTAATCATAAAAAAAACCCCATAAAAACAAAAAAAAACAAACAAACAAACAAAAACAAAACAAAAAAACTATAGAGCGGACGAAATAAATTTCAGACTTTTTTTTTCTTAACATTTCAATATAGTTTAATGTAATCAGTATAAGTAAAGGAGTGGTCAATTAATTAGAAGTCATTTTAAAATCCGCAATAGTCAAAGATAATTTTAAAGTAATTAGTTACTTAGGTCCCGTTTACACGGATCCGGACAAGTTTTTGCCGGACAAAATCTTGCACGGTTCCACCTTGCGTTCACACGGGACCGGCGGAACTGAGCGAATTTTTGAGCGGATTTTTGAAGCGTGCGAGTTTTGGGACCTGCTTTTTTCAGGTCCCAAACTTGCACACTTAATCGTTCAAAAATTAGTCCAGTTCCGCCGGTCTCGTGTAAACAGGGCCTTAGAAGCCTAATGTGTATTTCAGCCAACACAAATTTTGAAGGACAATATTGCATTCAGTTTCTCGGTGACTGAATCGAACTGAGCGCAGATTTAACTGTGCAGACCTTGCATGTCAGCTTACAATATTGTCGAAACTTTGAATTGTTGAGACAGCTTTTCTTCTTCTTGATGCAGTAAGTGTCATCCACAGAATTTCTGCAAACTGAAGTAAATTGCAAGAAAATTTATGATCACAATATCGAGTAACACAAATTTTATACGGCAGGTCCACAATTCATGGAAATTCCACTTATAGGTAATCATGGTACCTGTTTGTTACGCTTCAGTAGCATATCAGCCGAGTTTGGTCAAGCCATGGTTCGTATTTTGACGAAACGTGGTCGGTTATGAATTTCTTTATTTTCCTTCTTGTTTCAGAACGCTTAGTTTGTATAGGTAGTCAAATGATTTCGAGTGCAACTTGGAATAAATAAGCACAAGTAAATTTTTCTAAGACTACAAAAAATTGCACGAACCCGTATGGCGAGTGCAATTCGTAGTCTTTGAAAAATTTAAGAGTGCTTATTTATTCCAAATTGCATGAGAAAAATCATTTGATTACTTGTTAATAATATACAAGTGACAATTTCTGTCACGCTTCAGTATTTTACGTGACAAATGAAGGGTCAAGCTACTTCAACTTCATTGGATGAAAATTTGACATGCGAATTCAAGCCTAAAAATTCATTCACTCTCTCCAAGTCACGTATGAAAACTGAGCAGTTTCTTTTAACTGTGAAAAGCAGTCTTTTTCACAGTTGAATTGTTGCTATTGTTGCTTCACATTCACAAGTTTAAAAGGCTGGGCCAGCAAATGGCAAACGCAAATCTGGAACAGCTTTGGTTCTGAACAAAACTGGTGAGGTGAGGAAGAGTGATTGAAAAGCGTCAGAAGAATGGTATTTTGTTGTTGGTGACTTTTTGCAATTCTCCGAATTGGCGCGGTCTAAACGATGTCCTTCCTGTGTCATTTCCTCCGCAAGAGTAAGCCTACTCTCGAATCTGTCGCGCCTGTCTTTCTATAAGGTGTAGACTCTGTGAACTTCTGGTTGAACGTCTTTTATTGCAGACTTACAAAAAAAGAAAATGGAACCTAAAATACCTGAGCAGCTGAATTTGTTACATCTTCGTGATTCTTTAGCTCGTCCCAGTCCGCTGCAGCCTTTGGCACCGTTTTTGGGAGGGGGTTTGGTGCACGAACGATTGCGAGATTGAGTTCCTCCACCGCATGGCTCGCTACACCAGCTCCACAGACTCCATTGCGTGTAACCACCATCAATAGAAATATCTGAAAACACTAAAGAGAAAGTGTAACCGAATGATGTTTCAATAGATCCCTTAACTGTTTAGATGCTTTCATTCGTTTGTTATTACGTGGAACAGCCCGTGTCTACGGTTAAATCTTAGAGCAGCAGGTTAAGATCTGAAGGACTCTGCATTCACAAAATGCCGCAATATTTTCTGATCAGTCCACAAACTGAACAAAAAAAGAAAAAGGGCATAACAAACCTTGTTCACATCTTCCACAAGTCCTCGCACAATACCTTTTAGTGTCGTTAACGCTTTTACAATAGCCTTTCAGTTTCCATTCGATACACATGTTGTTACTTGCATGATCTCGGCAGGGTTTATTTATCACTAAAAAAAAGGCAGCGAAACATAAATTTCAGCAGTTTATAATGAATCCCCCCAGCGAAAGCTGAATTATCAACTCGTGTATCATATTGATCCTGTCTATTTCTTGCCATAGCTGCTCCTCATTCTCGTTAAAAAAAGGTATTAGTTTAGCGTATAAATCACAAGGCAGCTGTAGCAATGCTCATGAGAAATTACGGCAGAGGCAATGATTATGGTTAAACTCCCTTCCCAGGTATTTAGGGTGTTCATGATGACTATAAATGGCAAAAAATGAACAAAATGATTCGAGGCAAGTGCCTCTGTTGCCTACTACTAGTAGGTAAGCCCCTGTATCAAATAGACAGTTGTTTACCAACTAAAGTGTTACAGGCTTTAAAGGCGCATGTTCGTGATTCTTTTGCAGGACCCCTGCAAGTTGTTCCATTGTTTGCAGGAGGTGGATTGGTGCATGATCGGTTACGCTGTTGAGTTCCATTACCACATGTGACACTACACTGAGACCAGGAAGACCAGTCTGAAAACCCTCCAGCAACTGTGAAGATATTAAATAATAGATTTGTTGATGTACAATGCTAATTTGTAAACAGTGACCAATTATCAAATGGCATCGGACAATGAGTAAGTGCTTTCTATGTGAATAACTGAGATAACGGGGCGACTCAAGGTCAAAGATCTGGTATATGTTTAAGTAGAAAACAAACCAGTTAAATAGTCAGCCCGAAGTTATAGCTTTAGTTTGAAGCAAGAGACCACGAAGTCCTTTTGAAACGCCACCAAAAAAGACACAAAAAAGCGACAGTTATTCATTTGTGAAAACCATCAAATGCTTACCTGGTGTTAGACATATTTCAAAGGGACATAAGCGGGTTTCCCAAACAGGTCCCATACATGTTGTTCCATTGTTTCTAGGTTGCGAGTTGTTGCAAGATCGGTTACGCTGCTGAGTTCCATTGCCACACGTGACACTGCACTGAGACCAGGAAGACCAGTCTGAATATCCTCCAGCACCTGCGAAGAGATTGAATAATGGGTTTGTTTATGAGCAGTGTTATATTTTCTGTCTTCAATTCTAAGGTGTAAACTAAGTTTCTGCAAAATTTGATGTTCCAGACTGGCAACAGTCATTCATAGGTGAAAAGCGTCAAATGTTTACCTGGTTTCGGGCACATTTCATACGAGCATAATTGTATTTCCTGAGTGGGTCCTTCACATTGTATTCCACCATTTGTAGGAGGTGGATTAGAGCACGATCGATTACGCTGTTGAGTTCCATTTCCACATGTGACGCTACATTGGGACCAGGAAGACCAGTTTGAATGCCCTCCATCAACTGCCAAAAAAAAAAGAAAAAAATTAACGGATTAACTAATCGTTGCCACATAAATATTACAAACTTTCATACATGTAGAAGCCAAACGAGGAATTCAAATCTTGGAGATACTTTTTTCCCAACATAATTATAAAACGGACGATAACCGATAACGAAACCATAACAAGATGCAGGAAATTTGGTTTCACTAATGATTACCCTTATAAGTCCTTTGTTCTGAGTTTGTGAAAGTATAGCAAAAAATACATTTTTGCATGCATTCAATTTCTCTGTTTATTTTTACCTAGAGAAAATTTGGTTTTTGTTCCTATCAAAACTTGATACAATGTCGAGTAGCAAAAGTTCACTGTCATTTTAAACTGCCAGGGGCCTAGGGTGTATTAACATTTTCTACAGGAATAAAGAAGATTAGCCTGAACAGGCAGACTGTCTAAATTATTAGCATCCCCGATATATAAACATGGATACCATTCCACAAAAATTAAAACACAGCCAATCAAAATAGAGGAAAACGGTTTTATGTTCTATGGCATGGTATAAAAAGGCTTATTATCTAACTGACAAAATTAGTTTATCATGATTGGATGAGAGCAGGCCAATTTATCGTCAACTTTTAATTTAAACTGCAGTGCAACTTAACGCAGGGCTTTCGGGGTTTTCCTCCCAGTCATATAATAAATGAGTAATCGTGTGAAGGCTCTAGCAATTAAGGACTCACACTATTTGTAATGTTTGAAAATTCTTTCAAATTGCAAATATATCAAATGTCAAATATCACTCGTAGTTTAAATCCTAAATTGCACTCGCATTCATAGTATTACCTATACTTATGTAAATTGCGAAAAATACAAGTGAACCGTAGAATATCACTCGAATACGTTGCATAACCTATACATGTATAACATTAATTTTTTTCCAGACGATATAAGTCATCTACCTGGGCACCGCTGTTTTTTACATGTCTGTGACTCTTTATCTCGTCCCAGTCGACTGCAGTCTCTTCCTCCGTTTGCAGACGGGGGATTGGTGCATAAACGATTACGATGTTGCTTTCCTCCATCACATGACCTGCTACACTGAGACCAATGAGACCACTGCGAATATCCACCATGAACTGAGAAGAGACGTTTAAAAAGGCAAGTAGGTAATTAGACACAAAACAAAGATAGCAGTTAATGTAGACTACATGTGGCCCATCTTAGTCCGTGGTCCTCTCTTAGTCCGTCGTGCGAGACCGTAAATAAAAAGCAAGCTAGAAAAAAATGGCCACGTAAAATCCTGGGGCCGAGAAGCGTGCAATAGGAGAGACTACTGACAAAGGCAGAGAGTTTGAATTGTGCGTTGCTCTCACAAAGCAGAATATGATTGGCTTATGTTAGGAGCGCTGAAAAAGTGTTGCCAACATTCGAGATAATTGTGATGTCTTGCAGGATATTTATCTGACTTGCTTTGCAACCGGAGCAAATCGAAGCGCTTCGCTGGCCGTGCTGTTCTTGCGATTCTGGCAACAGCCATTGGAAAGAGTTTAAAAGCTTTCTTCCCCGAACCAGAATGCGGGTGTGTTAGGGATTTCGCCGCTCAACAAGTCCCTCCGTTCGCTCGCTTCTCGCTCCCAGGATTTCAAGCTGCCATTTTTTTCTCGCGGTTTATTTACGGTCTCGCTCAAAGGACTAAAGGAAAGAGGGACTAACTGCTGTCTACAGTTAATGCAAATTAGTAGCTATGATCGCTTTTCTTTGCATGAACTTGTACCTGGGCACAGCTGAATGTTACAAGTCCGTGATTCTGTCCGTGGTCCGAGACTGAAACAACCTCGTCCTCTGTATGCTGGCCAAGGATTTGTGCAGGAACGATCACGGTATTACTTTCCTCGACCACATGATCGACTACAACGAGACCAACTAGACCACTGCGAGTAGCCACCGTGAACTGAAAAGGGACGTTTAAAAAGGCCAGGAATTAATTGAAGACAAAAACAAAGATAATAATGAGAGTATCTCCATGTGGCACGAAATTACTTTGCGGGAGTTTAATATTGTGAATGGGCGACTTTTTAGCTTGGCAATTTTCAAAAATATACCTATGCAGGGGCCAGTCACTAGTGAAGCACATTGATAATTTGGATAGTAGAATGTCGTGATCGACTAAGTCAGACTAATTGCTTAAATAAAGCAAAATGGCTCCAATAAGCTTTACACTGTCCATTTCCTTGAGCCAACGATCCGTTATGTTAATTAGTGCAGTTTCGCACGCATAATTAGGTCGATAACAAGACTGATTTTGGTATAGTAGATTATACTTTGACAAGTGTTTTTGAGGTTTAGAAAGGATTAGCAGCACTGAGATGGGACGATAGTTTTTTCTGTCAGGAGTGGAAGTTTTTTTGTGAATTGAAGTGACTTAAGCTTTAATTTTCAAAGGCGCTTGGGAAGTTTGCTGTTTTGATACTGGTGTTGTACATGTCCAAAAAGCTTCTTTTAGTATACGTACGAACACAGACATCATCTAGCTAGGCCAGTGACTTTTTGAGACAGGATATTCTTTTAAGTCATTTTTAACTATCCTCTCTGTGTCATTGTTAAAATTTTGAAGACATCTGCAACGGTCTCAGTCGTGCTGTTGTTGATGGAACGGAGGAGCTGTTTATTCTCATCACGACGTGTAAAATTCGAGTTTATCATCTGTATTACTTATATGTGCATAATAACAATTTCTCTCCAGATAAAAAAATCCTTTACCTGGGCACCGATATGTGTTACACGACCTTGACTCTTTAGCTTGTCCCAGTCTGCTGCAGTCTTTTCCTCCGTTCGCAGGCACGGGGTTGGTGCACGAACGATAACGATCTTGCTTTCCTCCATCACATGACTTGCTACACTGAGACCAATGAGACCACTGCGAGTAGTCGCCATGAACTGAGAAGAGACGTTTGAAAAGTTTAGTAGCTCGTTGTACAAAAGACAAAGATAAAAACACGGTGCGTCATGCAAATTAGTACTTCCATCAATTTTTTACATGAAGCTTGTACCTGGGCATCGCTTAATGTAACAACTCCGCCATTCTCTACGTGGTCCAAGGCTGTTACATCCTCGTCCTCCGTGTGCTGGCCAAGGATTTGTGCAGGAACGGGAACGGTATTCCATTCCTGGACCACAAGACTGACTACAACGAGACCAACTAGACCACTGCGAGTAGCCACCGTGAACTGAAAAATAAGGTTAAAAAAATACATTGGCAGGGTAATCACAAGCAGTTAAGTGAGCCAGCGCAATCAAGTGGCACCAGAATGAAATACTACAAACGAAGAAGAAGAGGAACAAGAAGAAGAAGAAGAAAAATAAGTGGTAGAAACTCATTTTACACAAATTAAATTAAATCACATAACGCACAGAGTAGATGCTCACCCCAAATTAAATAAGTCGTTACATAGTTACGTTGTTATTTCTCTCATTTTCATAGTTCTTTCACAAAAATATTAATTACCTGGACATCTACGCTTGTTACATTTTCTAATTTCTTTGTCTGCTCCCAGGCAGCTTCTTCCTTTGTTTGCTGGCGGAGGATTAGTACATGTACGAGAGCGATACTGAGTTCCCCATGGCCATCCACATGTTTTGCTACAGCGAGACCAGTAACTCCACCGCGTGTAGCCTCCGTGAATAGGAATATCTGACAACAATAGCGAAGTCTTATTTCATTTCTGAGTGGAAAATGCATATCCGTGAATGTGCTGGGACGACATGCTTCAACAAACGAAACAGTAGGTAAAGAACACAAAGAATGCTCCTAGCCCTAAGAACAAAAAAAGTGCAGATCCCTTAACCGAACGTTGAGACTCCGGGCGGGAGTGCTTTTAGATTAAAATTTGAAGCGCCCTATTCGGAGAACCCTAGTAAGGATTTAATCATTGGTTTTAAAAGTACCTCTTTCGTACTTGGTTTCCATGAGACTTTCACAGAACCTAAACAATTTTTTTTTTCTGAGACTTGTCATGAAATATAGTTGCTTAAGGAACCTGGCTTCTTTTTATAATCAATCACATGATCAATCAATCGATCGATCGATCGTTTGATTGTTTGTGAATTGAGCTTTCCGGGATCAATGAAACGAACTTTGAAGCAGTTATTGTAAATGAACAACTAATTGGTTGGAGGCAGAACAGTTGCCTATTTACAACTGTGCCAAGGAGCTGGACTCGAGAATAACAAAATCTTATCAGCTAAGCTAATTTGAATCAAGTCCAGCGCTCTAACCTGATTCGGCCACGTCGCCTGCCTATTTTACAACTGACCTTTCCTGCGATTTTTAATTTGATCTGTGGTAAATTTTGTCCATCTCTTCTTCCTTCTGTCGACATGACTGTTGTTTGTAAGGGGATCTTCTCTGGTTCCGTACAAAATCAACTTCAACGAAAATACGCGACCTATAATTTTGACAACAGCAAATTTAAAACGATTGGTTCTTG